GCAAATCAGGAGCTAGTTTACATAATTAATGAGGAAATTCTATAAATCTGCTTTGTTCGATAATAGGACTATGAAACACTTGTGACATGTAATTGAGAATGAAAAAAACATCTAGATTATGTAAATGAAGACCTAATTTGCATAATTAATGGGAAATGTTCATAATTTCATAGTTGTAACTGCTGGGAATTTCATACTTGAAGTTAAGTGAAGGCGAACATCAATAAAATTAATTTATTCAAATTATGACCTCATTTGCATAATTATGAGGAAGCGCTATAATAGCCTTCTTGTTAAGATAAAGCTGTCATTGGGTGGAGAATAAGATCAACTGATATAACTCATGCAAATGAGGGTCTTATTTGCAAAATCAATTAATTGTATAATTCTTCAACCGCAAGGGTTAACATCATTTGGCGAAGGTATGAGATCGTGGAACTCTTGTTTGTTTGTTTGTTTATATGTTGTTCCATTAATATGGTAAATACTATTTTTCCTGGAGTCCAGCAACATAAAATAACAATAATAATAATAATGATAATGATAATAATTACTTAATAACTCATATCAAGGGATTGACCTACGTGTTTAAACTGTTCGTCTTGTATGTTTGTCAAAACTTAATAAAGATGATTTTAACTCTCATAAAACAAAGATCATCTCGGTGACGTTCCTGGACTTCCAGCTGAGCTACACCACCAGCTGTGACTACGCCACGGACTTCGTGCAGATCGGCAACAGCAACGACACGTACGACTTCAAGGTAAGGGGTTCTTTATTGTAAGTTCGTTAAATAGAGAGAGCTGGAGAGCTGTATGTGATTTTTATTTTTTTTTATTTAATTTTATGACGATTTACCACATTTGTGGAAGGATTGACATAACAGGTGACTATCACCTCTTCAAAGATGTCAACCCCGAGACCAGACTGTAAGGTTTGAACCACTCACACCGGGAAGGTCCCCTACTCTTTTCGATAAGTGCGGTGGGTTCTTTAACCTGCGTGGAGTGTGGCTCTCCAAAACACGGGACCTCCATTTAACGTCCTATCCGAGGGACGTCCCT